GTAGTAGCAGTAATAAAATGTAGTTATTGCTCATTTTGGATTATCAGGAATCATAGTTATTTTTGGATATAAGACCTGCTATAGTGTCACTAACATATTCCTATAGCAATTTCATATGGGTATATGCATAGTTTTGCTGTAATTTTGGCATAGATTCTATACAATATAGGATTCTGGTAATTCATTTTATCTTGATACACCACTGTATTTCAACACATTAAACACCATTTTGCAACATCCCGTGTCAGTGCAGTGCCCTCAAGGTGCATAGCAAAAAACAGAAGCTAGCTGTCGCAACACCAACCGTGAGTAAACATCATACTTTACTGTGCACAGCACATACGGCTACACACAAACCACCAAATATTTTTGCTGTCGTTTGATAAAACATCATCAGCACATGAGAACATACTGCTGTACACAAAACACCAAATCATTTTAGGGTATTATGATGACTAAAAGCAATTGTATAAAGAGTGACATGGTGTCCTTTACTTTGTATGTTGGTGACAAATACTCCCACGTAGAGTTGTGCTCCACTTTGCTGTAATTTAGAGAGGGTTTGGTTCTTCTGTTGTTGGAGGTGCTCACGTAAGTCTGCCATCCTGAGAGAAGCTGTTGCAGTTTCATTCTGGACCTGTAAGAAACGGCATGAGGTGTTGATTTTCAAATACTCTTAACACTTAAGAGATGCAATATGTTGCCAGATTATCTGATCTCAGATCTTAAAATGAGCTGCGATATACATTTTAAACAGATGTTTGCTCACCGAACCAGTCAACTTCAGTCCACTGATAATGGCAGGCTTCATTTTTTTACCACTTGTATCTTTCTTTACAACTCCAAACTGGCAGTGGAAAGCTCCTTTAACTTTCTCACCGTGTGAATACCTAGAGAAAAATCATTAGAAAATTGTGACTGTTAAATTAAGACAAAAGGAGAGTCTTAGAACAGTAGCCTATATTGTAAAATATGTGGACTAGCATTAAGTGTTCATTTTTATCAAAACTGCATTAATCAACATCTTTAATATTAATTAAATTAAATTACAAGGTATTAGTTAATGATGCACAATTACACAAATCCGCTGCTGTACAGAGCTTTTCAGCTACTTATAGCTTATTTTGGGGTTTTATGACAAGCCAGTTGTTGACCCTCTAACTTTAGATATAAAATTAGCAAGCAGGTTGACACACAACATTTTGTTACACCAGTGCAAAAAGACCAGTGAATTATAGGCGTACATTCAGCAAGTGGCTGTAAAAACATGTCTCGGTGTGTAAGTCTAAGAGCTAGGTCATGTTAGGCAAGTGTTAGCTCTAACTCTGGCAGCAATGTTAGCAAATTCATAAAGAATACAGTTTGTTTCTGAGTCTCCTGGCATAAAGTTATAGCTTTCGTTATGTTTGTTGCCAAAACTGATGAATGCAGCTTTAACAGGAACACTTCACAGTAAAGTAAGTTAAATAGGAAAATAATCAACACTTACCTGGCTAAGATTTTGAAGTTAAACTGTTCATCATTCAATAAAATATAGCTCTTCTCCATTGCGATGTTCACCTCAAAACTTGGTAAAACTAGGGTGGGTAATGAAAGAAATGTTTTTGAGAAGAAAAATCATCTGTTAATTAAATTTAAAGTAGCCTTAATTGCTTCAATTAAATTATCTTACCAAATTTTTGGACCCTGAACTCTCGGGAAGCAACATTTGCTTCATCATCTTCATAGTGTGCTGTAATCTTCCACGTGCCTGTCCTTTGTAAATAAAACATACATGTGTTATTATGTTAAGGTTAGTTTTGTTATGTTAGAGGCAGTTTCTTGTAAATCTGTTTTTACATACTTAGAGACATCAGGTATGGGAAATGTGTCTTTGAGTATTCCTCCCTTTACCGACTTCAGGGACTTCATTATTCTGTTTCCAGCAGCATTCTGTCATAAAATGACTATGAATCATGAAATAAAGCCATGAAAATAATTTGTGTAGTGCTCTTTATTCCTTGAGAGAAGCTATACTCACAAATACTGATATGAGGAACACTCCCTCATGAGGCCTGAATGTGTGGTCAAGAGTGAATATCCTGTACTTCACTAGAAGAGAGATAATCAACAGTCACTGTTATTTCTTTAGAGTGGAAAATGTATTTATTTATTATTTCACATTGTTTTACATTTGTTGACTTTCTATTCACCTGCTTGTGCTGGGCTGTAGATTGGCTGATCAGTCTGAATGAAGATATTGCCCCTGCGTTTTGATACAAAGACCCTTGTTGCCTTCCTGCCACTGAAGGAGGGGCTCTCTGCCACCAGGTTAAGGTAGGAACAATCATGACTTTGAGAACATCTTGATATCAATTCTCTGTCTATCTGTAAAAATGCAAATTAGGTTTGGGTTAATGATATTTCAGTCCTATTTTAACAGTTTGCTTTTTGTGTTAGTGAAGTTTCACATACCATGAGCTCAACTGTTTTGATCTCCCCTTCCACTGTACACAGGACATTTTTCTGCACAGACACACGAGTATTGGTAGTCTCATGCTCCAAGTAGAGAGTAACAGGATTATTGAGATGAGACCTTCCCATCTGGACAAACACTTTCTCATTTACACCCACATGAAACACTCCAGGGGCTGAGATGAAGAATCTGCACACAGAGGTAAAAATTAGCACTTACTGTATCCTTCATTACCATATTTTGTATTCATCAACTTCTATTCAGATAGATAAACATCTGCTATTTCATTCTGGCAAAATTACACAAATATATTATGCTGAAAACAAACATTTAATACGCAATGATATCAGATCTTAGAAGACAGAAAGCATTTAGGCCTCTTTGCATTAAACACAAAAAGTTACAACAAAAATGATCACATAATTTAGTACATAATTATATTACATAATGTTCATGCAGCTATTTCTACATTTACCCGTTGTCTGTTGAACACTCAGATTCCATAATAAAGATCAGGAACAGTATCGAAAAGATGAAGCACTTCATTGTGCAGCTCCCTTTTCTTTGCCTGCTCTGAAACAGGCTTTCTATTAACTGAGGTTTTTATTAGTCACCCACCCCTGTATTTCTCAATCGCTGGGTCCCTCAGTGCCCTCCCTCTGTTTATATTTTCTTCCAAGATAACTTAGAAAGAAGTACTATTCCTCATGTGATTTCTCATGTTGCATGTACTATCTGGCAATAAAAGGACAAACCTGCAACCACTGATTCAACTCACAAATACCATCTTATGTACTCCACTGAAGTTTTCTCTGTGTCTCTGAAGCTGTTTGTGTTTTGTTGTATTGTAATGTGATTCTGTCTCTTATAATGTGCAGAAAAGGAACTTGCTGTCAACTTGTGAGTCAGGCCAGTAAAATGTAAAACATCTGTTTATTTTAATATTTTAATTTAAAAAGATAAAACAATGTATACCCTGAGAAAATCATCAAAGTCAGATATAACATGTATACTAATGTGTTCAGATGTGTGACACATTTCTTGGCTTGCAGCATGGAAAGTGTTAGTTTCTATTTCACAATGTGTAACCATACCTCATTGGACAGTGCAAGTCAGCCAGATTTCCCCCAAATCATGTGATTTACAAGAAATCAAGGCTCTTTGGCTCTTTGGGTTTGGGTTAGAGTGAATGCTGTTGACTCTGCAACACATAGTTCAGGAATGATCTCAATTTCATTCTCAAGTCTATCTTTAAACTCCATAATTACAATAATTTAGTTTAGTGGATCAAATTGTTACTAAAGCTTTCTATTTAACACATAATAAATGTCCTGTGCAGTTTACTTGTTATTACACAATCCCCATCATGTGTGTTTATCAGTGAACTGATTGTATGCTGAATGGAATTTAAATAAAAATAAGCTGCCAAACTCTGTTCTGATCTGGCAAAAACAGTCAAACAATTTATGAGAAAGACCCAGTCTATTATCATATTATGATCTGAGCAAGTAAAGATATACAGAGACAAGGTCAGAAACTTTATTTTTTTTTCTACATGAACAGCTTGGTATAAGGTACAATAAACAGAATTACAAAATAAGCAAATTGTGTAGCACATTAGTGTAGCAGATATGTTATGCAATTCAACATTCTGGCTCGCTGGGACCTGACACTGATTGATATGATGTCTGAGAAGAAAATATTTGTCTGGACATGAAAAAAGACAAAAGAGGAGGCTTGAAGAAGAGACGACGGAGGAAGATAAAGATATGTAAGCCCATAGGGTCCAATTCCTGATAGATAATCTGCCTTAGGGTATTAAAAAAGCTAATGTTACACTTGCTAACATGTTAACAAATCAAATTTGTTAACATGTTAGCAAAATAGCAATTAGCATGACAACTTTCTTCAATTCAAGCCATTAGACTATCTAGCTATCTGTTATCTATCCAAGATTGTCTATGGAGCTGCGCTGTTCCTATCTGTTGTTATATTACCATTACAATACGTCTAGTTTGGGCTCTAGACTGTAGGACTAACTTTAACTGACTCTTCCCATCCCCTTGGTTCACATGGTTGGAAGAGGGTCACAGCCAGGTCTCAGTAAACACAGCTCCTACTGTTGGTGAGTGTATAAACGCAGTGCAACACTGCAATGATAACCTTCTAATTTTAAAAATTAAGTCAATATTTTAGTACTTTCTTTATGTCACTGCAGGTCCATCCATCACCTTTACCCCTGGTGCAGAACATGGTCATGTCACCCAAGAAACTGACACTGCTGGTATGTGTTTTAGTTAAACCTGTAGAGATGCCCTGTCCTTTGCTTATAAATCAAATCTGTCATGTGGGGAGTGTGTAGTAGCTGTTTTTAAGGACTTAGGATTATTGAGCAACCTTATTGAACCTCCTCCAAAGCTGCCAGTGTTGAAAAGACATCTTATCTAAAGTCACTTTTAAAAAGGAGATTGCATCAGACTCTAGCAAATTGTCTTGCAGTAGAAGATCCTCCAGCTGGGGCTAAGAACACTTAATTTCAGTCAAGTTATTTTATTTATTTTTTTATTATTTCATAGCAAGTCCATCAACCTCCACCTCTTCCTCCGTCTTTGGTATCATCAAGAAGCTGACAATGCTGGTAAATTTAGGCCTACATCAATACTAAATTAACAAATATTCACTGCTAGGAACACCCAACGGATGAACATGTGAACTTCCATCCATCCATCCATCGTCAACCGTTTATGCAGCCAATCCCTGCTGACATCGGGCGAAAGGCGGGGTACACCCTGGACAGGTCGCCAGTCTATCGCAGGCCCACACATAGACGAACAACCAGCCACACTCACACTCACCTAGGGACAATTTTAGGGTCACCAATCAACCTAGGCTAGACAATTAACCTAATCTTTGGACGGTGGGAGGAAGCCAGAGCACTGTGAACTTTGTTAATCTTTCTCATAGGTCTTCAATCCTCAATGACTAATGACGCGTTGATGTGGTGAGCAGGGGACCGGCACAGGTTGACAGAGACTTGACCTTTCCAAAAAGATACTCAGACAGCAGAAGTTTTCTATATCGTTACGTTTAAATCACTCATGAAGAAGCTGGTAGACGTATTCCTAGAAAGATTATACTTTCTACTGTTTTGTAGTTTTTGTCTCGTAACCTCTTGTTTGGCTGTTAATAAAGATTTATCTTTGGTCAGTGATAATCACTTTATCAGTCTTTTTATTTATTCATCATTCATCAGTGTCTACTGTATCTTTCACTGCCATTCAGCTCAGTAGAACTGTTGGTATCATTTTTAATATTTCCTGTTTGACATCAAACATAGTAGATATAATAATATACAGTATAGTGTAGTTATTGTTTTTCATCAGAATCAGCTTGGTTGCCAAGTAGGTTTACACATACAAACTATTTGCTTTGGTGTTTTGGTGCTAAACAATAAACATAGCATGTTGAACATATAGGAAATATTTATCAGTTCTTACTTAAAAAGAAGAGATGAGCAGATGTAGAAGTACAAATGTACAAATACTTGAGTATTTTAATTGATGAGGATCTCTCTTTTAAATTGCACATTGACAAAGTAGTAAATAAGCTTAAACTAAAAATAGGACTTTATTTTAGAAACAAGGCCTGTGTTTCTTTGACAACCAGGAAGAGATTGGGTGCTGCACCCTTTTACACTGCACTTGATTACGATGATCTGCTTTATAGAAATTCGCCTGTCTTTGTTGGATACTTTCTACCATAGATTTGTGCCTGGATGTAAAGCTTTTACACACCATTGTACCTTGTACAAAATGATAAACTGGCAGTCATTATCAATGAGGAGGCACATAGATTAGCTTTTATTTACAAGTCTATCCTTGGTATGCTCCTCTCTTATCTTTGCACTTACATGTCACGCAACACCAGTTCCTATAATTTGCGCCCTGGTGACTTGTATTTTTTATCTGTACCTAAGATCCATGCAGAGCTCAGTAAGAGGGCCCAATATGCTACTGTTTTGGCCAGATCCCTCTTGAAAAAGACGTTTTAAATCTCAATGAGATCATCTGGTTAAATAAAGGTTTTAAAAAATGTCAAGAATAGGTAGACTTTAAGGTCAAGATTTTGGGAGAATTTAAGCACCGAAGTGGTTATCCCAGCTAAGTGATCCAGATGTAGGCACTGATCCTTAGAGTCTCTGAAATTTTCTCAATTATCTGGCTTGCTGGAACCTTCTCTCTCTAGTAGTATATACTGTATGTTTGTTTAAGGAGATTTAATTTGTGTTTCAATTCTAACATACTTTTTGTCAATATGCAATCAATAGTACATAGTACAAACATATTAGTATGTACAAACGTACAAACATTTTAGTAATATTACAAACGTATTTCATGTTAGAATTTCACTTTGCCAACAAGATAACTACTGTAACTGTCTTACACTAAACTGAAAATGAAAGTTAAATGAAACAGATTCTGTTTCACTGTCTGCAGCCATCAATCTTGTACTTATTTGTAAATGTATTAAACCCTGTGCAGGCAGCTCTATGAGCAGTTTTTTTACATTCTTTTTCCAAAAGCTTTTTTTCAACCCAGGTGTTTGATTCCAACAGATACTGCATCCTACAAAAAGAGGCAGAGTGACCAGAGTGAGAATCAATAAGTGTAAAATTATACTTCCATTAGCAATACTGAATATACTTACATTCCATTGAAGTCCGTTGTGGAGCCATCTTTGCCCATGATGAGATACTGTCTTCCCAAATCTAACTGTCCTTTACACTGACGCCTCTTAGCAAACACTCGAACAGAATTCTCAGTCACAAGGGTATCTCCATCTGGTAGAAACATGATTGTGTGATGATTACATTTATAGTCATCAAAGCATAAATGTAATTATGTACAACTATTTAAATGTCAGTGTTACAGCATCTGCTAAGGCTTGTGGTTAAAGTTTACTTACGTGATCTGAGTACCTCCTTTACATTTGTTTTGTACAACTCAAAGTTACTCTTCAGAGAAACATTGAGGACTTCAACAATGTACGCTGAAATAAAACAAGAACCATTTATTAACGAGTATGTGAAGATTCTCTGTCATCCAGGTCATAGTTATCCAAGGAAGATTGAAGACAAGGGCAATTGGACTTGGTTGAAGATACTTGAAGACGTTTCACCTCTAATCCAATAGGCTACTGACTTACTGGCAGGGATCCCAAACATTTAACCTCTGGGCGGTCGTTATCAAGGTGATGGATACTGCTTGATTCATTAGTGCTCCTGGCTGTTGTAATGACAGTTGTTTTGGTCATGTGAGGCCAAGTCTAAACAACTGTTGTGAGCAACAACAACTGAACCCCTGAAGGATGCACTTAAAGCTTGTGGATAACCAAACTGTACCTTGGTGAAAACAGCCACATAATCTAGATCTAGTGTATGCTGTCCAATGGAGTGAGGAAGGACCAGTTCTATTTTGGGGGGGAAAGTAACCCTTGGCCCAACACAGGTCAACTCCTCAGGTCAAGAGTGAGCCGTTTACTTACATTGGAAGGACAAGGGACACTATTTGTCGATGACAACAATGTACTTATTTTGACAGATGGTAGAAGTGTAAAAGAAACCATTTCACCAAAATAGAGAAACCATCACTCAACAGGGAAGGAGGGCTGAGACACCACTTATGTCCCACTCACAATGCTGTCCTTTCATCTCTTCCCAGGAGAGTGAACAAACACACACATTTGGCCCCATGTGACAATGCCAACAACGGTCATTTAAGCCCCTTTTCCACTGCACGGTACCAGCTCGACTCGCCTCGACGCCTTTTTTTGTTTTTCCATTTTGGAAAAGTTGTACCTGTACCTGCTACCACTTCTAAATCCACTTCTGAGAAGTTTTGAGGCGAGAAATCAACTGTGTAGATTTCAAATATTGACAGTTTTACAAAAAGTGATGGCGGAAGGGGTGGTGGGGAAACCTGCACCAACCCACGGGAAGAGCTTGCGTTGCCAGCCAGCCGTCCGCTCACAGAGCCCTCTGGTCACACCATCACACAGACCGCTGAAGCAACAACGGCAGAGGAAATACAGCCGCAAAGTTTTCATACATTACCTTCTGAGTAATGTTGAAACGTTTTTACTTAAATCAAGAGCCAGCTGTATGTGGGTCGCAGGTGTGTGAGTCACATTGAACATTACGTCGTAGCAGTTGTGTGGAGGATAGCCAAACCGAGTCGAGTAGAGTCAAGTTGAGTTGAGGCAAGTTGAGCTGGTATTGGTATTGGAAAAACTGCATAACGAACCAAGCGTATCCATCACTTTGATAATGACCTCACAGAGGTTAAATGGCTAGGATTACCTGCCAGTCAGTCAGAACTGAAGAACCCTCTTGGATGATTGTCAAAATGTCTTTAAATATCTTCAACAAAGTCCAGTTCTCCTTGATTTTAAAGCTTCCTTGGACATATATTAACAACCATTGATCTGCACCTTTTTATTGTATACTTCTGTACAGTGTCACTATATGAAAGAATGGATTGTTCTTGGATGTTGACACTTTGCACCATAATGTCTTTGTGCAATACTGACCGTAATCTACTGTAGGGAAGAAGCAAGCATGTTGAAAACGGTCATTCGTTGTGATTTTTTGACCTCTTTCTGATTTGAATGTATTTTGTACTTTATGACAGGGTCCTAAAAAAAAGATGAACATACTGCAATTTTAATTCTTTACACAAACCTGTAACATAAAGCTACATTTATTCAAAGTCAGTCAGTATGTGACAGTGAGCAATGGCCTACTTTCTGCACATTGGCACACATCCTCTGAGCACAGTTTGGAGACCATCTTGCTTCTTTGGGGGGCGTTGTAGAAAACAGTACACTTTCTGTCTGCAAGGAAAGCACAAATAGTTAATATATTCCTGGTAAGCAAAGATGCCAACATTATCCTGGTAAACAATGCAGAAAATGTCAAATAAAAAGCTTACTTGGTTCATAATAATCATAGAACACAGCTGGAGCAGGCTGTAGGAGGCCAATTGGTACTCTCTGTATAGCATCAAAACTAATACATTCCTCTGATTGAAAGAGCTAGAGTGGGAGAAAAAATCTTTTAGCACTGGTCATGTAAAATATTTGTGTATGTAAATATATTTTAGCCATACCTCATTGAAGTAGATCAGCACTCTTCCATAGGAGACCTCATAATGTGAAATGTATTGTTCAGGTGGCAATTTTAGCTGTGAGGAGACATGAATTGAACTTGTTGATGCTATAGCAGACATGAAGCACTCAAAATAGCTCCTCCCACTTTACAATGATGAAGAGGAGAGAGAGCTACTAACCATGTCCAGGTCCTCAGTTACAACCTCAAATCCACTCAGAAGTGTGATGTCAGCAATGGCCATTCCTGTGAGATTGCTGTTCAGGCTATGACTACACACAGGAAAACAATGAAAAATATGGGCTGAGACAAGTGCATTGTCTCATGAATACTTTTAAAGATCAAGAGATGTGAACCTCATTAACTAACCTGACACAGATTCTGTAGGTGACAGTCTCGTCTGAATTTAAGTTGTTATCAAGGTCTCTCCTGTTTCGGGTGCGAGCATCAAACCACTCAATAGCTGACCGTGGTACTCGTGCCTCCTTCTCCTCGTCGTTATCGTAGTCATCATAGTATTCATAATTTTCTATCACCTTAGCTACAGAGAAAGAGGATGATGTAACTGTGGAGCTTTTATCACCAAAACAAGAGGTTGCAATTTGTTATTAGTGATAAAAGCTCACCAGTGTACTTCATTTTCCCCATTACTGTGACGCTGATAGACACTTGGTTACAATCGTCCTTTGGATCCAGTAGATGGTAAGCTTTCACAACCTGCCAAACAGATTGGTGATTTACTGTAAATGATGGCTGTCTTCCAGCATATAAATAAAACAATAATCACACTTACTTTTAGCTTGGTATTGCCTTTTCCTTTCAATTGCACAACAATGTTGTTCCCTGCAAGTTTCTGGGACAAAAGACAATATAAAAGTAAGTCATCTAAGAATGAGGTAAAATATTTAGGTACATATTTAAGAGAAATGCTGACAGTGCTCTATGATACCTTAAGGTCTGTTTCCACCTTCTCCTTCTTATTTTCCAGTACAAGCTTTACAATGTCGTTCTTTCCTGGGACGGTGAACTCTGCTATTAGATTGGCTTCAGGACTGACAGACCTCTTTAGCTCATACTCCGCGAGGGCTTCCAGTGCCACGATGGTATCCTGGGCATAGTAATAAAACATTAATAACATGTCAATTCTGATGGTTAATCTGGACTGTGTGATCACACAGAGGATAAAGTGGCTATGCCCAAAGACATGAATTCTTTGGTTTCAAACATCTAGCATTCCAATCACCTGTGATGACTTGTAGCCTCCAAAATAGTTTTCTTGGGTGGTTAACCAGCAGGCTGCTTTGTCTGCCCACTCGGTATGCCCAAGTTCCACTGCTGTTAGGAGGGCATAGGCTGTAGTCTCTACTGTGATGCCATCTGCCCTCTCACGATTCTGATTGGCATCAGTTGTCCAGAGATAACAGCCATTCTTCCCTGACAGTTAGGAAATAGTCAATTAGTACAAATAAAACTATTTCAAACCACAGCATATTGCCATACAGCACTTGATGAACTTTACATTTTGACTAGAACAAGGATGGTTGCTCTTAGGTTTGGGGGCTATGTAAAGCAGTATATGAGATGGTAGCCTGATATTAAATTCCATATTATATCCATATCACCCACACCAATTTGAATTGATTGGACCTGCCTTCACTAGCCAGGGCTTGAAGTTTTGTCCAGGCAGATGAATGATCTGTTTCCTTTGGCAGGCAAACAGCAAGGCAGTAGGCTGTAATGGCAACAGCATAGGGATGCTGAAGCTCCTCAAGGTGTGAGAGGAGATATGTTGTTGATCTTGAAATTCTTGCCTCCTAGTAGAAAGCAAAGGAAAATATGCACTGATTATAGTGCTAGGGTGACCATATTTGGTTTTCAAAAAAACAAAACAAAAACTTGGAAGGTTGGGGCTGGGGGGATTCAAGTAGTTGGTGGCACCGTGGCAATGTATAGGCTACTGTAGAGTCTCTATCCACCTGGAGGAGCAGTTAATATAAATTAGTGTATGATAACAATATTATAAGATTAAATAAAATTACAATAAAAAGTTTAATATTAGTATATTACTAATATTTATAGGTTATACTTGTCTAATGTCTGCCTACTGATTGTATATAGCAGGCCTATTTGTAACATTTCAACAGCTTATTAGTTAAGATTCAACAATTCAACTGATTCACAAATAAAACCTTTTTCTGTCTAATATTAGTGTATTCATTATAATTTCAACAGTATCCAGCAGTACAGTACAGCAGTTTCATTATGGTACATTGTTGTCATTCACTAAATCCTTGTGAAAGAAAAATGGTCTATATGGTGGTTAGTCTGTTAATTCTAAGTGCTAACTTACAATAATCATAACTATTCATGCAGAACGAATTCAATATTTTGAAAGTTTGCTGCAGCACCATGTCAACCTTTTTTGTCCCGCCCCATCCAGGCTGTGATTGGTCAGTTCACGAAAACTGACATTCATGAGCAACTTTATGTTTGTATGTATGTATGCTTGAATAAAAAAAGAACCAGATCTTCTCCCTACTCCATTTCCGCCGGTGGAGAGGGCAGGAAAGAGTAATATTTCTAGCAGCTTGTGAAAAGGGCCAGTACACAAGAAAAAGTCCCGGTACGCCACACAGTAAAATGTAGAAGTGCCGGGACTGCGTAGACTACCAGTGAATACCGGCCCATTTCAAACACTGCATTTGGATATTTTTTACGCTGTTCAGGCGCCATGTACCACTGTTGACAAGCAAGCTGCTGCTGTCTTATGGCTGTAGCTGTGGTGCTGAGGGTAATGATGTATAAATAATAATGTATAAGATGTAGTTTAGATCGATAGTGGCATGCAAGAATGCGGGACCTAATAAGGAGAAAGGTCAAAACAATGCAAAAACCCAATCTCGGACATTTTGGGGCAATTTAGAAATCCCGACTGGACGCATTTTTAGGTCCCAAAAAGAGGACATGTCCGGGAAAAAGAGGACGCATTGGTCACCCTATTACCTTGCATTAAAATATATTAAATATAAAACTACAACAAGTGCAGGCTAAGAGATAGTAAGTAAGTAAGTAAGTTAGTAACAGATTATGACCTGAACCACTGATGAAGAGCTATGATGATTCATGTAAAAGTTGCAATCCATCCAGATATTTCCATGACATTTCATTCAAAACCACAAATTTTAATTTCATAGCTGCTAAAAGAAAAGTCAGGTATCCAAAATCATTAGGATACCTATGCTGGGATCAATTAATGACGGTACAAAATTGTGTATCACTCCCTCTAGTATATGTTGAGATAATTTACTGGATAGGTGAAAACTTTAACCTGCTGATGGTGCAAGAGGAAAGGTGCTTGTGAAAAAGTTAAGGGATCACCAAAGTCATCAGGATTCATTCTCTGGGCAAAATGAGTATCTGTACAAAATTGTTTGACAAAGCCTTCCATATCTGAGATATTTCAATCTGGACCAAAGTAGTGGACTGACCAACACTGCCATTCCAAAAGCAACACCAGCAGCATAGCTAAAAACAGTCATCCAGGACAGTAATATTATCTCTATATTATCTTACCACATTATTTCTCCCTTCGGTTTGCAGGAATTGAAGGGACCGGTGAAGTGCAAGAGTTATGAAAGCCGTCATGGATGCTTCTTGGTCTCTTCCTTTCTACATCAAACACACATGGACAATTTTTAATTAAAATTACAGCTATTGAGTTTGTCGCCCCATCTAATACTGTTATAATATGTGCCCGTTCTAACATGTAGGCAGTCGAGGTTACCAAAACTCCTCTGTGTAGCACTGGATGTGGATCACCAAATGACCCATCAGACTTCTGTACTGAGAGCAAGTAACTGACTGGGCGCCTGATTTCTTCTTCTGGTACAACCCTAGCCTTCCTGCCCTGCACTCCAAAAGCCGCTGTCTGACGCGCCGCCACCAACGATAGCACTTTCACTACAAGGGCAGTCACCCTGAGGACAAGAGAAAGCAGATTTACAATGTATTGTATTGATATTGTAAATGAAGAACATTGATGTCAGACATTAGAAGTAACTGCATATGACCTTACATCAAAACCCAATTTGGGTGCATAAAAATACTTAACCAATTACTTGATGGCACTGAACCCCATGATCCATAAGATCCATTGCCTTTCTTCTTGGTTAAAACATGTATATAACCTGCCAAAGAAAGTGTTTACTTTGTTAAAAACAAAACTGTCTATAGCCTTGTTAGCAACCTGTAGAGGGGGAAACACTCACAGTAGCCTATTTACTTACTCTCCATATTTAAAACATGTTAAATCAGTTATTCTATAATGTGTTTCAACTTTAATAAAACATTGAATGGCGACCTCTAACAGCTAGAACAAAGCATCCATTGTTTTATCTCTTGTCTATTGTAATGTGTTGTTAAAACCTAGAAGCTGAAATACTATTGTCCTGCCACCAGCAGTTGGTTTCAGTTAGGGTGATCTGTTGCTAGTAATTACTCCATAGCAGCTTAAGTGACATCGTTACATCTACCATTTTATCAGATATGAGATGAAGCAAATATTGACAGACATATTTTATCCTCAAATGTCCTTGTTGAAGCATTATCATCTTTTTTACAGATGTTTTGAAATTGTTAATTTGAGATTTAGTAGAATTTAGTTTTTCTATAATCACCTAACAAAGCTAGCTACTGTGCTAGCTGTCTGGAGAATGTGCTGCTTATGCAACATTCTAAGTAACTGTTTGAATTAATGTAGGGATAAAGGCCTTTACATACCAAGTATTTTTCATCCGAAACTGTCTCATGTTTGAAAATAAATATGACCTCACATTGTGTCAATCACACACTTTCATCTGAAACCTTCACCGGTCATCAAAGCTTTTGTAAGAGGTTCAATTTTCTGTGTTTTTTTCGCATCACAGTAGCATTGTTAGCGCTCAGAACCTTCATGTAGCCGTGATGCCAATTGCTCGACACGGGCAGAGAGTGGCAACAGCTTTGGGAGCTTCCTTTAATGGTGCGCATAGACTATATAAAAAGGTAGAGTGAAAATGTCTGGGAAGGTTCTTAGTCATCCAGGTCATAGTTATCCAAAGAAATTTAAAGTCAAGGGCAACTGGACTTGGTTGAAGATACTAGAAGACATATTGTCCCTCATTCAAGAGACTTCTTCACTTCTGAAATGACTGATAGGAAACTCCAGTAAAGCTATTTAACCTCTGGGGGATTGTTCGTCCGCTGGTTCGTTAGTGCTCCTGGCTGTGCTAACGACAGTCGTTATGGTCGTTAGAACACCTGTGGCCAAGTTTAAACGGCCATTGTTGGCATCTTCACCTGAGGCCAAGAGGTAATGCTTGTTCAGTTTCCTGGGAAGTGATGAAAGGACTGCATTGTAAGTGGGGGATAAGAGGTGGACCCCCTCCTCTGTTCAGCGACGGCTTTTCACCCGGGTGTAGATGGCTTCCTTGACACCTCTTTCAAACATCCATCCTCTCTATCTGGCAAATGATCCCACAGAGGTTAAATAGCTGAGTCATTTCAGACCTGAAGAAGTCTCTTGGATGAGGGACAAAACATCCAAAACTTAGATACAAAAAGTATCTTCAACCAAGTCCAGTTGCCCTTGACTTTAACCTTCTTTGGATAAGCTGGAGAGATGCAAGGGTAGAAATGACAGCGAAGCAGCAAGAGACAGAACAACTGCAGCATGCGCCACTGAGCAGCTTTCGTAGGAGTTAATGGAGCCCCGCCTCCCACACTGTATCAAGGAGCAAGTTCACTCTCGAACATTTGCACCGGTTTGCTATGGTTTCTGGGTTGAACGACACATTTCCTCGAAACGGTGCGCAATGGTGGGTGTGTCAGAGATAACACCCAATCAGAAGCGACATGTATACCGCCATATTAAAAGGCAGTAAAGTGCAGTGCTCTTCCATACACAACAAGGTATTCAAGGCACCACTGTCTCCGTTTAAATAATCATTTTGCTACACTTTGTCGGAACTGAAATGGGCCCATCTTTATAAATCCATGGTCAGGAGCTGCAGACAGATGAGCTGTCCACAAAACCATTGTCACTGCTCGATGACTTCATTGTGTCTCGCATTGTGAATTTTTGCAATGAATAGAATCCTAAAACGCATCAGACTCAGTGTGCAAGGTTTCTGTGCGTACAGATTTTTGGGAATGGATGGATTAAAAAACACATACAAAAATATGGACTTGGTGTCAAAAGGCCTTAACTGTTGACTATTTTTACTTTAACCGTTGTGGACTTAACTTAATGTTGATCCTTCACTGATCTTTCCTAACTTAACTGCTTGATGTTTTCTTACCTTCCTCAATTTTATCAAGAGCGTCATCTCTGGCCCCAGCAGGCAAGTCAAACCATTGCTCACTCAGGTCAAGGTAGCGGAGGGCTGAAGCTGTAGGGGCCAGTCGTACCATTGTCTGTTCTAAACATCCTTTAGGCAATACAATCAGGCTAGCAACCTTCTCAGGGGAAAGAAGGTTCTTTGCATGTGAACTGCCAAATCCATCCCCTGTCAGATGAGAACATTGAAAGAGTAAGACACTGTCATTTACAAAGATTTCTGATATTAAGTCATTCCAACAGCACATACCTTCCATTGAAATGAAAATATTGGAGCTGGAGTAGGGGACTGTATCATCTTGTAAAGTTCCATCAATAGTGATAGTCTGAGTGACACTCCCTATCAAAATAGAGAGAAGTACATTGATTAAAGCAAATGTCAATTTAAAATATATTATTTACAACTGTCAAGCAAGTACATACTGAAAAAACTTACCATCTAATTTAAACACCTGGGTTTCTTCTACTCTCTTTTCTAGTCCTTCTGTCTACAACATGAGAAAATATAGAGCCACTTTACTGTCTTCCTTGCCTTACACGTGGAAATATGCGTGGAACACACAAAAGCATGTTGAATTAAGTTAACATTACTAGTACTCAAATATGCTAATTCATCAATGTTTTAATGCATATTTATAATCAATGAAGTCATACCAATATTGAACAAAAGCACAAAGATTACACTTAATAACTATTAATATTTTATCAATTCGTAAAAAAGGACTGCCCATTCGTATAAACACAAATAGCTGTTACCAGTAAGTACTGACTAAAATTGAAAACAGCTGTTAATCTTATCAATGTTATTGTTTAAGAGTGTTATGAGAAAATGCTGATATGTCAAAGTAATTATTACAGCCAATATGACTTCCAATATGTTGGATATGTTTTCATATTTAGGTAGGCATCTATTCTAGAGTTATTACTATATTATATGTCACTCACCAACACATTCAAAGCCTTCTCAACTGCATCTATCCCCCATCTATTCTCTATATCATAGAGACGTATTTTGATGGGTATGGAACCGGTTACCATGGGGACAGCCGAGAAGGACACAAACTGGGAAGACTGTGGCTCCACAGTAATGTTGACAAAAGATGTAGTGGTGGCTGATCCGGGGGAGCAAAGTCCTTCAGTTTGTTCCATATGAACTGCTACCTATAAAAATGCAGGTGTCCACGGAGTAAAATAACACTAAAAATGTATTTGTTTAATTCAGTTTGTACATTTGGTGGGTATCGTTTTAAGTGCCTCTTAATGTCAACATTAGGTTATAGCTACCTGTAGGCTGTCAGAGCCATAGTTGTAGATAACAGGTGAAATGGATAGTTGCTCATATTTTTTCACAGAGTAAGGCAGTCTCAGAGACACAAATGCCCTCTTAAATGCTTTGACCTCAGGTGGCTTAACTACACAGAAACCTGAAGGAAACATAGAATAAGTCAATTGCAGCTAATAATGAGAAGCTCCTCAATCAAATATCGAGATGCATTTGTGAAATGGGAAGCTGTTATTACCGGTGTCTGCAGATAAAGTGACGACTTGAATCTCCCACGTGGTGATGGAATCAGGTAAGGCCAAAGAATAACTAAAGGTTTTCATTTAAGATAGATTTAATTAATCGGTTGCAAAATGTATCTGACTTATGCTTTGTCTACTTTTAGATGTTTATACTGTAGAGGTAAGGTTTGCAACTAACCAGATTAACTCACACTAGACAGTAGAAAAAGCCGAAATTCTCAGCAGTAACAGTAACAAATACAAAGGATATAAAGAAAAAATTGGGTAGCAAAAGGTTTTAATTGCTGTGACTAGCCATTGAACTGAAAAATAAAATATTACATAAACTTCACAGTCCACCTCTTACCTTCCTTTGTCATTTACATCAAATTCTGTGAATGCAAAGCTTGGGGGGAAAAATCGTCGAATGTACTGAGAAGCAGTGTCAAAGAAGAATTCTTCAATGTCAGCAGTGCTTGTAGCTAAAAATGAGAAAATAAAAAGTTTGTGATTAAACTGTGATAATCATGCCACAGTTACTCTGAATTCTATCTAAGTAAGTTTGTAAAGTATTGAATTGAATTGAAATCTTTATTTTGAACATGCAAAAGTATGTATTTAATGTCCACATGACAAATTCATCTCACTCCTGGCAAATCCTTTCAGGGAATCCTCTTGTATCTTTTTTTGTCTCAGACGCTCTCCTTCAAGGCAACATTTTAAAAAGGCTTCTGCACAAACAAGATTTTCTTTCACCAGAGAGACTCTCTTAGCTCTTTCCTGACATGTTCGTCTCATAGGGTTGAGGTAAAACCCTTGAACACAACAGTCTTGCAGCTTTTCATTGGAAAAGTTGGATTCTGAAAATAACATTAAAAAGAAAAAGACACATTTATAAAGCATATTCTGACCAGAAGTACATTATTTTAGAACAGGGTGTAATACCACAATGTTGTCTTACTTAAGGTCATCATTTCCTGTTGAAGGTCCACAGAGCGTCTTTGTCGTGCAGATTGGGAATCACAGCCAAGACCTGGAAAAGTATCATAACTTCATTAAAGCCCAACATGGGCAAGTTGATAAAAACAATAATTAGCTAACAAGGTAAACACTGTCTACAAATGTAACTATTATCTACTGTATTCAGCTTCATTTTCCTATTCTCACTTAACATTTCAAAGGATTCAAATTAAGATAAATTGTTTCTCATACTCCTTTTCCACTTTGACTGGGACTGAGATACAAAAGACAGGCCAGCCTCTGTTAGAACAGATGCAGGGTCAGATCCTCCACTGTATGAGCAACCAAGGTCATTTGACTGCATAGAGGAAAACACCTGAAAAGTGGGAACAAGAGCTTGGATATACTGTATATGGGTGAATTAAATAACGTCTAAGTGTTGTAAGAAAGACTACGTGTGAAAGGAGTGTTTGAAAGTGTGAAGGTGTTACCTGTTTGGCTGTGAGTTTATTATCGGCATGGAGAGCGTAGAAGGCCTTATCCACAGCCAGCAAAGCCACTCTGGCTTTCTGACCATGTAAATCAAAGTCTAGCGTAGCTTGTTGTCCAGGTTCAAATTGTACGTTATGTTCTACCTAAATAAGAGTTAAAATATTATACAGAGATTTTTAAATGCCTGTGTCCAAGGTCAATGTTAATTCAGTTATGAAACATTTAAATGTATACATATATTTTGTGTTGTAAGCTAAAGTTGATTTCATTAAGTCTTTAAATGATCTTGACTGCCCTCCCAGTCCCCTCGCCGCCCCATTTATAACAAATGCAAAACAATACAGCAAGTTTCACACTTGTACATAATTAACCTGTTAAAATACACATAATCAACAAAGGCAAAGTTCAGTTGATTTACTGTCTCACTCTGTTCAGGCTGCACTTTAATCTGTTCTGTTTACTCACCTTGACCTTTATCTCACATTCATCCCTGACATCTACCCACACCGAGTCAGCAATGATGTTACCATCCTGGTCGTAGTAGTAGCCAATCAGACGGAAGGATGGCACCATATCAGGCGTTATCTGTAGGTTGTCTTTAACTGAAGTACCGATTCTGAGAGAACCCTGTTTTATTAGGATCCCACGGCTTAAGACCTACAACATAAAAATGTTACATATTTAAAAAAAACGTTGCTTCCCTTTGTCAAAACAAACCCTGATGTATTGACTCAGATATGTCTCACCATGTAATATATAAACCCATGTTTTTGGCCATTCATGGTGTTGTAATTTACAGACAGTAACTCGCCCACAGAGTACATCTTGTTGGTAATACTCAGGTAAAGGTAGCTGCCACTTGGAGATGAAGCTCGGCGAATTACTTTCCTCTCCATCTGGTCATCTGCTGACACCTGATGAAGTGAGGGTGTAAAGAGTTCAACTGAACAAAAGCAAAATCCAGTGGTTTATCAATTGATAACACTGTTAAGAGATACTAACTTCAACAGTAATCTGAGCTTCATTGAGAATATTAAACACAGGAAACACTGCCCCCTCCTTGTTGGTGGTGCCTTGCCAATATTTCTCTGAAGATGCTGTTAAATGAATCTTTACAAGCACTCCAGCTGCTGGGGAGCCATCTGGAAGACGCAGCACCACCTATAATAACAACAAACAAAATGTTTTACATCCAAAGTCAAGACATGTACATAGCTGTGCACCTATTTTGTTAGTTTAATGCCTACCACCACATCTAGCGGATATCCAGGAAGGAAATATGAGCGAGTTCGAGATAGGTCGATGTTGTACTTGTGTGAGATGATAGGAATGTAAACTTCTGCCTCTTGTATTTCACCACCTGGACCAAATAAATGCAGAGATCAGATGCAATGAAAAATCACAATAATATACCCAATATCCTCCTCTTCTTCTTCTATTATTATTATCATTATTATTATTATAGTAGTAGTAGCAGTAATAACAATGTTAATGCTCATTTTGGAGTATCTGGAATCATAGTTTTATTTAGAATTGTTGAATAAGTAGTGTAACATATAGCAATTGTATTGGTGTATATCTATGTATATAACAGTTTTACTGTAATATTCTATACAATGTATGATTGTGGTAATTAATTTTAACTTGATACACCACTGTATTTTAACACATCCAATTAAACACCATTTTGCAACATCCAGTGTCATTGCAGTGCCCTTAAGGTGCGTAACAAAAAACAGAAACTAGCTGTCGCAACACCAACTGTGAGGAAACATCATCAGCACATGAGAACATACTGCTGTACACAAAACACCAAATCATTTTAGGGTATTATGATGACTAAAAGCAATTGTATAAAGAGTGACATGGTGTCCTTTACTTTGTATGTTGGTGACAAATACTCCCACGTAGAGTTGTGCTCCACTTTGCTGTAATTTAGAGAGGGTTTGGTTCTGCTGTTTTCGGAGGTGCAGATGTAAGTCTGCCATCTTGAGAGAAGCTGTTGCACCTCCATTCTGGACCTACAAGAAATAGCATATGGTGTTTATTTTCAAGTTGGTCTAGCTCTAACACCTAATGAAGTTGATGATACAAAGAGCAACTTTTAGAGCAATCGTGCAGGGCAACGTTGCCATCACTGGTAATGAGTAAAGATTACTACCGTAATCCTCTTCCCCCACCACTCTGCCACCTGCCCTGCACCGCTGCTATCCATTCAAAACATAGTCGGACTTGCCACTAGCAAGATTGCTCAAAAAGTTGCCCCGTGTATCATCAGCTTTAAGTTGATGCAACATGTTGCCAGATTATCTGATCTCAGATCTTAAAATGAGCTGCACTACACATTTCAGACACATATTTGTTTACTCACCGAACCAGTCAACTTCAGTCCACTGATAATAGCAGGCTTCAGTTTTTGACCATTTATATCTTTTTTTACCAATCCAAACTGGCAGTGGTAAGCCCCTTTAACGTCCTTACCATGTGAATACCTACAGAAAAAATCATTATAAAATTGTGACAATTAAATTAAGACAAAAGGGGAGTCTTATAACATTAGCCTATATTGTAAAATATATAGACTAGCATTAAAAGGTTGTTATCAAAACTGCATCAATCAACATCTTTAATATTAATATTGAATCAAATTGTCATGATCCTGGTGTGAGTCTGTCTGTGCTTGTATTATTTTAGCCTTGTCTTTTCTGTGTTATGTGTTCTGTTCTTGTGTCAGTCTGTTTACATGGTTATGGTCTCAGTTTCAAATGTTTTTGTGTATCAGCGTACTTGTCCTGTTCTTATCTTATTTTAAAATGGTATGTGTCGGTGTTTGTCGCATGCTTGTTGTGAGGTCGATCTGCATGTGTGTCTGTTTTGTCCGTGTGCTTGTCTGTTCTCGGATGGTTGTGTCAGGTTTCGTCTTGTGCTTGTTCTTTTGTTTTTCTTGGTATTGGTCTGTTCATACTTGATGAACTGCATCTGTTGTTTGCACCAAGCTTGTTTCCTGTTTTGCCCTGTATATATTGCCTGTTGTTCTGTTCCAGCTGTATCATCGTCTTGTTTGTCTTCCATGTAGCATGGACACTTTGTTTGGATTATAGATTTTGTTGCTTTATTTGGACAACCTGTTTTTGGATCTCTTGCTTTGCTGAACTGCCTAATTTCCTTTGGATTTACCTAGACTCTGCTGTTGTTTTGAGTAGGCTCTATGTTCAAATAAATTATAACATATCCTGCCAGCTCTAGTGTCTTGTGTCTGGGCCCAATTCCTGACTGCACTCAGCAAAATCATGAGAGAATTACTAGGGATCATTTGAAAGTTGTCAGTTATGCATAATCACCATAATCACCTATATATTTTAGTCAATTAGGCTAAGCCAGTTATTGAGCATCTAACTCTAGCATTAGCAACCTGAGAGCTTGAGTCATTTTTTCAAGAGTTTTGGACTAACCTTTTCCAGCGCACAAAAAGTTAGTCAGTATTAGGTGAACATTCAGCAGGTGGCCAAAAACATAACGTAACAAACGTAACATTGGTGGCAACATTATAAGAGGTGGTTGTAGCCAATTCTGTGGTCTGGTCGCTGCCACACTGACCAATGGTCTCTGCCACATAGACCACTGGTCGCTACCACTAGGGGCGCTAAAGATAGTAGTCTCTGCCACATAGACCACTGGTAGCTGCCTTGCTGCCAGGCTCCCACACCGACCACTGGTCGCTACCACAGTCTCTGAGGGAAGGCTCCTTTGTGTTCCTTGTCACACAAACTGTGGCTTTACACATTAAAAAAGGTCAGTTTCAAGTTTTTATACAGCCTATGGTTCCAAAGTAGACCTAAAGTGACCTTAGATCATTTAAATGATCTCAACTGGCAGATACATTTTTTTTTTGTCTAATAGAGAGGAATGGATCAAAGTAATTAGATGTGTTGAGGAATTTTCTACTGTATCAGGCTTAAGAATGAACTTGAACAAATCTGTTTATTATTTACATTAAAAAGATAAACAGACTTAAATGAGCATACTTTCCTAATGAACTTTATGAACCTTACGCTGCGCACCGCATGACTGACAGGATGGCTCCACCATCAGCTATTGTGCTCACAGTTTTGTAGAAACAGGTATAGGCCGCGACCAGCGAAGATGAAACTAGAATTAGACTCTCTATTGACTGCTGCTTAATTGTTTAGCATTATTGGCTTTTTGATGCATCCTCCAATTAGTACAGTGCTACATATGATAATATGCTGGCTACTGTGTGCAGGCGGCCATCAGTGCGTAAAATAATAACACTTAAATATTATACCTACCAATAGTCTTTGGTGGCATTTTTCACGCTATTGAAACTCAAACTTTGTTGCAATATCGCAGACATCTGGGGCAAGTAGTGGACTGCTGTGTGTGTGTTTGTGCGTGTGGGCATGAGATGAGGCTCCACACTGCTGCCACACTGGTTGGTGTGACGTCGCTGCCACTAGGGGCGCTAAAGACAGTGGTCGCTGCCACACTGACCACTGGTTGCAGTTGGCTATATCTACTGTAATACATCTTTATCATAATTCTTTGTTAATATATTATCGATTATGCCTACTCTTATTATTGCACTATATATTGCAGTTTGTGTGGTTATACCTACAGTAATAGCCTACATCTATCTATCTTTAGTCCTTGCCTATAACAAGGCCTGTGTTATCACCTGTGAATGAAAGTGTGTACATCTTTCTATATCACAATACTTTGTAAAATATACTATATTATATCTTATTGATGAACTGTAGGCCTAGAGTATATTGCAGTTTGTGTGGTTGTAGCCAATCTACAGTAGGCTACATCTATCTAGATCACAATACTTTGATAAATATAGCCTACAATATTATCGATTATGCCTATATTCTTATTGTTGCACTGTATATTGCAGTTTGTGTGGTTAACCTACAGTAATAAATCTCTCTCTCTTTGGTTCTTGCCTACAAGAAGAAGGTTGTCAGTGTTGTCACCTGTGAAGGAAAGTGTGGTGACCACTTGTTGGTTGAATCCATGCTAGACTGATTTTAACAATAAGAATATAGTTAATCAAAAATTAGTAGGCTATTTGTTACTGTAGAAAGGCTATAACCACACAAACTGCAATATTTAGTGCAACAATAAGAGTAGGCATAATCGATAACATAGTATATTTAACAAAGAATTATGATAAAGATGTATTACAGTAGATACAACCAACTGCAACCAGTGGTCAGTGTGGCAGCGACCACTATCTTCAGCGCCCCCAGTGGTAGCGACCACACCGACCAGTGTGGCAGCGACCACTGTCTTTAGCGCCCCCAGTGGCAGCGACCACACCGACCAGTGTGGCAGCGACCACTGTCTTTAGCGCCCCCAGTGGCAGCGACCACACCGACCAGTGTGGCAGCGACCACTGTCTTTAGCGCCCCCAATGGCAGCGACCACACCGACCAGTGTGGCAGCGACCACTGTCTTCAGCGCCCCTAGTGGCAGCGACCACACCGACCAGTGTGGCAGCAGTGATCGGTGTGGCAGCGACGACTAGTCTGTGTGGCAGCAACCCAAGACTGAGGAGCCTTGTCTCATGCCCTCTCGCGCCAAATTAAAAGATTAAGTCTGGTTTGCGATTCTTCATACTTTGGTGTTTTTGAATTGAATAACGTCAATCATGCGAATAAAATACTATCTATTCATTTCCAGGCCATTAGAGCTTGTTTATAAAAGTTTGATAACTTCACAGTAATTTATCGATTTTGTCTTTTTTTTTCATCAACTTAGTTAGCCATTTAACTAACTAACTGGAAAGTATTTTAAAGTAGTTTAAGGTTTCAAAACTTAAAACCTCCAGACCTCAATTTTTTATGTTGCATAGGGTATCTTTCCCTAAATAATGACATTTGTTCCTCCAAATGAAATGAAATACGATCTTATCTAATTCTTTGTATATTTCAATAGGCATTTCCAGTCATAAGGATACATAGATCTGGATATTCCCTCAGTATTAGATAGTAGAACTCTACCATTCAGTGAAAGATGCCTCATCCACCACATGTTGAACCTTTTTCATTATTTGTTTAATCATAGGGCTGAAGTTTAGGTTATTGCAGAGTTTTTCATTCTTATCACATCCAGGTATGTAACTGGGTTCTTCACAGGGATATCATTAACTTCTGATAGTTCACATTCCTTAAGTGATAGCCTAATAAACAGATTTGTTTAAGTTCATTCTTAAACCTGATACAGTAGAAAATTCCTCAACACATCTAATTGCTTTGATCCATTCCTCTCTATTAGACAAAAAAAAAATTGTATCATCTGCCAGTTGAGATCATTTAAATGATCAAAGGTCACTTTAGGTCTACTTTGGAACCATAAACTGTATAAAAACTTGAAACTGACCTTTTTTAATGTGTACAGCCACAGTTTGTGTAACAAGGAACAGAAAAGAGCCTTCCCTTAGAGACTGTGGTAGCGACCAGTGGTCGGTGTGGCAGCCTGGCAGCAAGGCAGCTACCAGTATCTTTAGCGCCCCTAGTGGTAGCGACCAGTGGTCTGTGTGGCAGCGACCAGACCACAGAATTGGCTACAACCCCTGCTGATTATAAGGCTGTGTGTCTTTCAGCATGTTTTTGAGTCCACGGCTTAAAGCTTTAGCTATGTTCATGGTCATATTGATCAGTTTTAATTGTAACACTTGGCAGTAATGGGAAATGAATCAACACTTACCTGGCTAAGATTTTGAAGTCAAACTGTTTATCATTCAACAAAATATAGCTCTGCTCCATTGCGATGTTCACCTCAAAACTTGGCAAAACTAGGGTAGGTAACAACATAAAATGTTCAGCGGGAAGAAATATGATGATGTATGATATAATGATCTAGTTCATTTTTAAAAAAATAAATAAAATACTTAAATCAAATTAGCTTACCAAATCTTTGGACTTTGAGCTCTCTAGAAGCAACATTTGCTTCATCACCTGCGTAGTGTGCTGTAATCTTCCATGTGCCCATTCTTTAACAAAACATACATGTGTTAGCCTATATGTCAAAGTTGATTGTGCTGTTATGTTAGAGGCAGTATTGTAATTCTGTTTTTACACACTTGGAGACATCAGGTATGGGGAATGTGCCTTGGAGTATTCCTCTCTTTGCAGACTTCAGGGACTTCATTATTCTGTTTCCAGCAGCATTCTGTCATAAAATAATAAAAGCATGAATCATGAAATTAAAACATGAAAATCATATGTACACATCTTTCAAAGTCCCCTTTATTCCTTGTAAAAGTGGGTACTCACAAATACTGATATGAGGAACACTCCTTCGTGAGGCCTGAATGTGTGGTCAAGAGTGAATATCCTGTACTTCACTAGAAGAGAGATCATTAACATAAAGTGCCTTTAAAACAATCACTGTTTTCCTTATAGAGTGGAGAATTATTTCAAATTGTTTTACATTTCTTAACATTTGTTGACTTTCTATTTACCTGTTTGTGCTGGGCTGTAGATTGGCTGATCAGTCTGAATGAAGATATTGCCCCTGCGTTTTGATACTAAGACCCTTGTTTTCTTCCTGCCACTGAAGGAGGGGCTCTCTGCCACCAGGTTAAGGTAGGAACGTCTTTGGCGTTGAGAAAGTCTTGTCATAATTTCCCTGTCTATCTATAAAATGAAAATAAACAGTTTGGGTTAATGACATCTCAGTTCTCTCTTACTTGTTAGCTTTTTGTTTGAGTGAAGAAGTTTCTCATACCATGAGCTCAACAGTTTTGATCTCCCCTTCCACTGTACACAGAACAGTTTTCTGCACAGACACACGTGTATTGGTAGTCTCATGCTCCAAGTAAAGAGTAACAGGATAACTGAGATGAGACTTTCCCATCTGGACAAACACTTTCTCATTTACACCCACATGAAACACTGCAGGGCCTGAGATGAAGAATCTGCACACACAGGTGAAAAATAGCACTTACTGTGTCTTTCAGTACCATATTTTGCATTCATGAACTTCTATACAAATAGATAAACATCTGCTATTACATTACAACAAATGTACATACATATATTATGCTGAAAACATACACTTAATGTGTATTGTCAAATCTTTGAAGCCAGAAAACACATTTTAACCCTCTTTGTGTTGAACACAGGCTGTCATATTAGATTATTACATAATGTATATTCGTGCAGCTATTTCTACATTTACCTGTTGTCGGGTGAACACTCAGATTCCATAGTCAAGATCAGGAACAGTATTGAAAACATGAAGCACTTCATCGTGCAACTACTATTTCTTTGTCTGCACTAACACAGGTTTTCGATTAACTGAGGTTTTGTAAGTCAACCACGCCTGTATTTCTCAATCACTGGATCAAATCTCAATGCCCTCCCTCTGTTTGTTTGTTTTTCTTCGAAGATAACTTGCAAAGAAGTATCAGTTCTCAGCATATCTTACGTTGCAAGCACTATCTGGCAATACATGATGAAAAATCATCAGATATAACATGTATACTGATGTGTACAGATGACAGACTTGTTGAGTCAGTAGTGTGTACATTTCTACATATTCGATCTAACCAGATTGTTCTAAAACATGAGGTGCATTTTATATCACTGCTTGGCTTACTGCATGGAAAGTGTTTTTATTTCACAATGTGTAACCATCCCTCATTGGTCAGTACAAGTCAGCCAGATTTCCCCCAAATCATGTGATTTACAAGAAATCAAGTTTTGGCTCTGTGGGTTTGGGATAGAGTGAATGGTGTTGACTCTGCAACACATAGTTCAGGAATGATTTGCACAGTAGAGTTCCATTAAATCTGTACTCCCTATTTTATTAGTTGCTATACGTTACTAACTATTTCTGACTTTCTAACTATTGCTTAAACTATTAAGCCTCTTATTTAACACATAATAAATGTCCTGTACAGTTGACTTGTTCTTCTAAAATCAGTGAACTGATTGTATGCTGAATGAACCGTGTTATGATCTGGTAAAATGGAACAGTTGTAATACTTATGACAAAGACACAGACTAATAACATATTGTGATGCAATGCAAGTAACAAAGATATACAGAGACAAGGTCAAAACTTTATTTTTCCCACATGAACAGCTTGGTGTAAGATGCAATAAACAGACAAATTTATCTTGCAGCAGATTAGAGTGGCAGGATGTTCTGCAATGATGAATTAATTAACTTTTTTGAAGTTTACATTAAAATAAACCAAAACTGCAAGTGAACGCATCAGATCTTGATCTTTTTATTGATATTTATCTTTAACTCTTATCTCTTGCATAAATGTAAACACCCATAAACATCTATGTCAATTTTGGTAGAATTTAAGCACCAAAGTGGTTATTACAACTAACTGCTCCAGTTTGAGGCACTGATTGTCTGACACTTTGCTTCAGTTATCTGCTTTGCTGGGACCTTTTTTAATAACATTAAAATTAAGCTTAAAATAGCTTCAAAGTGAAAAATATTTGCTCATGTAAAGTTACAATCAAGCTAACATTTTTTGTTTTACATATAATAGCAATGGGTAAGTCATAGCCCTGTATAATCCAAAGACATGTAGCCCTGTGCCATATTATCTCCTCATTCATTAAAAATCTCATCCTCCCCAAATAGCAAGAGATACTATTTGTGCTTAAAAGTAGTTTTTGGTCCGGCGAACTGGATAACCGATTGATCCACATGTTCAGTTTACTTGTTCATTCAAGATGATATTCACACACCTAAAACACATGAAAGAATTTCAGCTTTTCAGAACTTTACAGAAAATTGAAAAACGTCAGTTTACCACTGCAACCTTAGAGAGGGTAGGTGGTCTACAAGAGAGAACCAGAGGCTAGAAGACCAATGTGAATTACAAAAACCCAAATTTGAATTAGAGCCAAAATAGCCTAATATCACATTTATTAATAATCACAAATTTACAATTAAAAAGTTCCTTACAGATGTCATTATTAATCAGCTTCAGCAAATAGTTAAAATCCAGTATGGGCCGTTCAAAGTCAGACTTTTGTTTGCAACACTTTAAATGCAGTCCCTTGTTGATCTCTGTATTACCACAGTAAGAAATAAGAGGGAGTAAACGAGAGTCGGGGGCATGATGTCCATCCACAACTCCTGGATATGGAGAAGTAACACAAGAATTGCGTTTGGACAATCAACACCAGACTCCCTGTCAAACTTGGAATGAACAGCACCATGAATAGCACCTCTTATCCCTGAGAGTAAATCCTGCAGTAGGTGGATAAAATATCAGGAGATGAATTAAAACAAGCAGAAATATCTATCATTATATGTACTAAAATGCTGAAAGCTTCAAGCAGTAGCTGTTTGTTAGGAGAATTAAGGAATGTCAAGAAAGCAGGCTGCACACTCTAAGATGTAATCCAAGAGTAACTGTTTATTAGAAAGATTATAATCCTTGTTATAAAGGTTTCTACCATAAAATGCTTTTTTGATATACACATTCTTCATCGAGCAATTCACTTTCTTTCTTATCTATAAATTGGCGTATTAGAAAATTAACTTTTACTAACAAGTGAAAAACTATTTTAATACTTACATCATACACCATTAATAATATAGTGATAGTAGTCCAAGAGAAGTAGCTATTAACTATATGTCCCTACATTTGTATTTGATATATAACTCTTATTCTTTCTTCCTAACTTTATTCAAATATTGTAAAGTTCACTGTCCTCTGCGTCCGTCCTCAACCGCTGCTTGTTCAGTTTGCCTGTCCATGTCGCCCTCTCTATCTGTTCCTCTCTATCCATCTCATTTCATGCAGGAGTGGGGTTACCTAAGAGACTCAGCCTCAATAGAGAAAATCTCTTTTTGTACAATTAACTGTGAAAGTGACAGAAGGGAGGGATCTACGGAGAGGGGTGCAGAAAAGGAGAGCGGGAAGGATACAAGTGCGTATGGCAGGTAGAGAGATGTAAAGTTGAAAACTAATTTAACTACTTTAACTTTAACTAATTAAAGTTTTATCTTCACAAATTTCTGAATAGGTACCTGTAATTAAAAATGACCCCAGTTATAGAAACATTTTAGTTGAATGTTTAGACTCTCAGACTGTGGCCATTTAGTTGCTGCATTTAACCTTTTGATTAAGTAAATATATTCTGTGTTGTATTTAGTGAGGCCAATAATTTATATGATAAACTTACATGCATAGTCAAGGATATATTTTATGTTCTATATTAGGAAGAGTTTCACACACACTCTTAATAAACATATACATTTCAGTTTTGTAGCACCTCATACTTGAATTGGGATCAGGCTAAATTAGGTTGCATTACACTGATCCCAGTGAAAGTGAACTATGTCTATCACCATAATCTCTAAAAATGCAGAGGGAGTGACCACTGGGTTTCCATGGAGAGATGTACACAAAAGGGTGTGGCGTGGGAATGTCCTCAGGGGTCAGGAGTGAGGGTGAAAGGGTCAGAGGTCAGAGCCAGCTGGACAGAACACAAGAGGAGATGAGGGTGAGAAAAGGAGGTGAGCGGGTAATCCAGAGTCTGGCTGACTGGAGCCAATGGGACATTAACATTGAACTGATGGGAGGCTCACTGACCAGTGTCTATTCAGGGAGAAAACTAAGCTATGAGACACTCATGTGTAATGGTCCATGGTAATTGACAAGTGACAAGATCCTCATTGTGGATGCAAAAGCAGCATCAAAATTCAGTGGCGGATTACAACCTATATACGTACTGGTTTTCAGTGGTTATTTATGTGTTTTCCAATATTTTTAACTGACAGCAGTTATGATGACTTATTACAGTTTTAAGCACAGTATATTTCCGGTGTTCTTCACACAGTTTCTTCTTTTTTCACCTCAAGGAAAAAATACTTTAACATGTACCAACTGACAATTAAGGTCAATTCAAAGATGCATCTGCAGTCATTCATTTCAAAAAAGCAAGAAAGTTTGTGTTGTGTAAAAAAATAAAAATACACAGGCAACACATGGTGTTTCTTCAGAAGGAACAACCTGTCTGAATTGATAACAGTGCATTTATGTCACTGTATGAAATACAGCTTTTATCAATGAATATGTTGTATAATTTCCAGTTCCCATGGTTATAGATGCTCCGTGTACCTCAAGGGTGCAGACAGGAAGGTGAGCTTCTGTGAGCTCTGTCTTCTGCTTCTTCTTGCTGCTAGTGAAGGTCAGGTCAGTGAGGGCAGCAGCCTGTCTGGATCAGGGGCCATACTCCGGTGGTCTAAATAAGACAGTTTTTTGGGGCCCAGCCCAGGGGTCAACATGCAAATAGTAACCCCTGAGTGAAAGGAATAGAGCAGATCAATGTTCTCATATTACTCGTGCTGCCCATGACTGTGAATGTGCACACCCACACGTCACATGAGGTCTCCATATTTAATGAAATTCAATCTCAACAATAGAGATTGGCAGGAAGGAAGGCAGCTGTATTTCAACAAGGGTGGAAATATGACATCACAAATGAGCATTAAAATAACCATGTCGAAGTCCACTAGCTTGATGTTATAATTGACAAAAACTTGAAGTGATAACACCAAACATATTATGAAACAGCAAACTTGTATAACCAACACAAATGTGTCACTGGCCTGCACTCATCCAACACATACATGGCAGATACAATTCAGTTTTTCTGTCTCAGGCAAATCTACACACTGCTGCCCTCCAGTGGCCTCAATGGCACCTGTCACACTGCAGTCATATTTCCTTTCAGATCCTTGTCCTGGTGCCCAGTTCCAGTAACAGCCAGGAGTTGAACTGGTCCAGAACCTAATGTCAAGGTTATAAGTGTAGCGCAAGCCTAGCCAAACATGGGGTGATGTGGTGTTATTTGCCTTTTCAGCCACCTTCTCCTAAATGTCTTTGTTGCTCCATGCAGTAACTCATGGCTTCAATCCATGTCATGTTTTCCTGGTTTGTCAGGCTTCCTTTAGGAGGACAACAGAGAGAAAAACAAATAGTACTTCATTTCATAATAAAAATGTACATGATCATTTTAAACATACCTGGAGGTGACTGTTTTCAGTGAGCTGAGGAGTGTGTAGTGTTGTGGGACTTCAGCCCACAAAACTACACACGTGGTGTTGTTTGCGCAGTTGTCAGTGCTTGAGGTACTTGCAAGATCTTTGGTATTTGGTGATGTCAGTTCACCGGCAGTTGTTGCTTAATTGTTGATAACATTAGTGGCGTTTGGTTGATTGATAGAAGCAACCACAGTTAAATGAAATGCTACTAGGACCTTAGATGAAGTGCTTAGGAGAGGCACATTTGTTCGTAATTGATCTTTTGTAAGAGACTTCTTTGTAGGCCTTGTAGACTTGTTCAATTGGTGGCTGGAATCGATTTCCTTGCTGTAAGTAATAAATAGACACCGAGAAGAGGATAATAATAGCTAGATTTCCCTCTGTTGTTTATTGTGTAAGGTTACAAAACAAAAATATAACTTAGAGAAAGCATGTAATACAGCAACTT